GATCTTCATGCATGCACTAAATCGTAATTCTAGCCCAGGGCTACTTTAGATAGGGTGGCTACTTTAGATGCAACATCGACCACCCAATGGCAGCTCGAACCTGTATCCTGGAGTTGGGAGTGAAGCCGAGTCATCCAATTAATGAATAGAGCTGAAAAATACTCTAGTTCCAGATTTGCATCTGAATACGTATATTATATTTTACGTATATTATATTTTACGGATATACGTATAACATAAATTAAATTTATAATGTATATATATATATATTTGATATATAGTAGTACACTATATATCTTTAATTAATCGTATATTTGGCTTTGACAAGTTCTTTTTCATTATGAACAATTATTTGAATACACATGAATACTAAAGTGTCTTTAAGATTAAGTGAGATCTGAAGATTAATACAAATAATAAACGAATAATTACAGATTAAGAAAATGACTATATACAGTACGTGACGATGAATACGTATGCTGAAGTGTAGATTATAATTCAATATGTATATATATATATATATAAGATAATCATAGATCATTCATGACAATTTAAAGGAATTTGCCAGTTAAAAAAAAGCCGATCCGACTAATCGAAAACCGACTTTAAAAGGTTGTCTCAACCAGCTATGGTGGGAATCACATGGATAAAATAATCACAGAAGACATAGAAATCAACAAATACAGCAACTAAGAATAAATAAGAATAATAAGAATAATAAGAATAATGCAAAATTATGAGATAATGGGTAGTGACCCAGCTAATGATTGCGCGTGCCCCTTTGTCAGATAACCATTTTTATAAAAAAAAATTTCAGGTAGAAATTTAGTAAGGCAAAAAAGGTAAGCGGATTTTGCAGACGCATATAACGTAACATTGCATTATTATACGTACAAACATGCAAGTTTTTACAGGTTAATGTGGATAATCAGATGATAGGTATTAAATAAGCAATAAAATAAAATATGAAGCACATTGTCGGAGTTATCACATGATCATCCGAAGCATAACCCTGTACGTACGCATTTTGCAATAACAAAATATCTATGACTCATAATGAAAAAAACGGACTTATCCCCTGAAAAGATTTGATCAACAATATGTTAACACAAACAGACATATACATATACGATAATATAAATTTCATCAAATTTTTCAGGGGCTATTTTTTCCTTGGCAACGTTCAAATATGCTCATTTGAAATGAACTAGTAAGTACGACATGATAATGAATTTAGCGTCGAGTTTTTAATCGATAAAATTAGACTATCAGCCACTAATAAGATAATCTTTAAAAAAGAACGACAATACGTAGCAAATAGATGAATCGTTAATAGATATTAGATGAATTCTTATCGTTGATTGCCAAATAAACAAATATATGCAAGATGGCGGCACTATTTTTTTTTTGTAATCACACGAAAGTATTCTGGTATATTAAATGAGTGTGTGGGAAATTATTTTTGTGTATCTCGAACCAGTTTAAACATAATATCGTACGTGCGTTGATACGCGTATTAGCAGTTAGTGATCGGGTTAATCAAATCGAAATACTGAAATAGAGGGCTTGTTAATCAAAAGTAAATCATGTGTCCTTTAATTAAATTAACGAAATTCTGAAGTTGGTTTGACAAACATTCCAACATCGATGTGCAAATTGATTATTAACATTAGAATGTTTGGAGCACTGACTAAAAATATTTTGCAATTGGCGAAGAGTTCTAAATTGTATCACTTCTAAACAAATGCAATGGAGACTATTTGTTTATTATTGTGATCAACAAAAAAGTCATTTATAATTTTCCCAACTGAGTTTTTTTCATGATAACTTTAAAAAAAATAAAAAATATTTTGGCCCTTGCTGAAAAAATTTATGGCGTATGTCTTAACCATATATATCTTTTCTTTCTTAGGTATATAATTTTCTATTTGTCAACAAATGATTGGTTTAAAAAAATTGGGTAAAAAATGGGCGGGAAATGTTTTAAATTTTTAATAAATATTAACCTATATAATACGATATTGATACGTATAATATTAATACATATATATATATATATTATACGTATATATATACTATATATCTGATATATATATATATATATATTATTTATATATATATATATATATATATTATATATATACATATATATATCAGATATATATAGTTTTCATTATTTGTTTATACGTATATCAAGATATATATAGCTTTTATTACTTGTTATATTATGGTTATATATTATGGTTATATTTATTATACGTATATATTATTTATTGTTACTTATCATTAATGTTTTGGTGAATCGGAGAATGTTAAACGTTAACCGATACTATCGCTATTTTTCATTTCGGTAATCATTTGAAAACCATGAGAAGATCAGGAGTTTATGAATTTTATATAATATCTACTACCATTATCACTTATTATCACTTATTATCGCTTATATTTTATCATTTCTTAATACCATTTTATACCATTTTATATTTACTACGCATTTCCTATCGCTGTTTTCCTTCTAAATATTTCTTCTGTTATGATCTTGTGACCTTCGATCATAAACAAACAACACTTAAAATTGTTGTCTAAACTTCTTATTTCTTAAACTATTACTGTATTTTTTTTCTGTATTCTTTATTAGTTCTACTACCGTACTAGTTCTACGTATAGTTTATGTAAACGAATTCTGAAATTTTTATTTCATTGATCATTCTATTTATATTATGATACCTAAATATCATTGTTAGTATCACCTTCCTCGCTAATATTGTAATCTCCTGGTGGTGGCCGAGTTAAAAAAGAATATTTATGCAGTTGACTTTTGTTAGTTAAAAATATGTTTATTACATATACTGTATATATATATATATTATTAGCAGTTAGGAAGTGTCACAACGTAATTGACAAACCACGGAGTTTTGTAACCCTCAATATTAGATTGGGTAATTTTGATCTATATTACCCTTGTAAATTTCACCTCTTTTCAAAACCTTCTGCTTAAAGGTTTAACACTACTCCCTATCGCGCAAGAGAAACGATGACCTTTACTTGCTTTCATTATACTACCGTATATTGATATTTTATTTCACTTTCATTTCTTTACCTTGATTCCGTTTTCCTTTGCATCTCTTGCCTTCGTTTCTCGTTTGCAAGTATATACACTCTTAAAAATCCTCATCCGAGGGTCCTCTCTCAAGTGTAAAAATTGTACAAAAGCTTTGTTCATATATTTCTCTTAGATTTATTTTTTTCTTTTTACTTGAAACTTTTATTTTCTCTAGACCTTTTCTTTTAATTATCGGTTCTTTTTCTATTTTACTTGTATTTTTTTTTTCTTTCATCGCAGTAAAAAAAAAAAAAAAGTTGTACAACTTAACGCGATTTCTTATTTTATTGTTTTTTTTCCTGCGTGCGTTAAAAAAAAAGTTTCGCATTATCGAACAAACAAAAAAAAAAACAAAAAAAAAACATTTCTTTAAGAAAACTTAATATTACTTTTAATAATACTTTGCTACTTTTAAAAAAAAATTTAACTCCTCTTTAAAAGATGATTCCTCGTAGTATTATGGACGAAGCATCTAAAAATAAAGCTGACCTTCATCAGCCAAAAGCAAATAATAAACCACAGGGACAGGTAATATATAACTTTCTTTACTGTTAAAAGTATACCTTGGTTATATTTTACTTTCGTCGATCTGATCTTTTTATACTATTGTATATTAAATGAGCATTATGGATATTATTAAAATATTATAATCTTTTTTTTTTTTTTCTTTTTATTTAACTGTTGGATTATAGCAAGTTGCTGCTCTTTTGAGAGATAAACATGATTACGATTATGATATTTTTGGAAGCACACGACAAGATATCAGTCGTTCTAACAGTGCTCCACCAACTCAAGTGGTAGATCAGCTTGGTCGGTTTGATCCTTCTGAACTAGATAATCCTTCACCTTCCGATCCACGCTTAGATCCTGACTACCCGGCATATTATTACATGAATTCTCGTCTTGATCCTAGACTTCCACCTCCTTTATATACTCCTGGTCAATCTTGGCAATTATGGGCTGGTGGCGGCGGTTTGGGTGGTTTAAATCATAAATCAAATGGTGCTCAACTTCCTAAAACAAAAGTTTTAGAAAAATTCCGTGGGATGGGTATGTAGTACTTTGTCCTATAAATTAACTTTGTATATAGTATTCTTGTTTCTTGTTTTAGACTCTTGTTTTTAGATTCTTATTTTAGATTTGTTTTATATTAATGTTTGTTTAATGTTTATACTATAATTATAATATTTACTTGCTAATGTGTATATTGAATAATTTATATTTCCTATCATATATATATATATGTAAAAGTTCCCTCTTTTGTTGTATATCATATTATGCAATCTATCCATAATGTATCGTTTAAAATGCTTATTTTGCTATTTGATCCTTGAAATGCCTTTTCCTATTATTACGATTTTCCCTATTATTACGCTTTTTCCGATTATTACGCTTTTTCCGATTATTATATTTATTCCAATTATTATTATGTTGTTTGTTCCGATTATTCATTCTTTCTATCATTATGTTAGATGCGGATGATGATTTTCTACGTGAACATCCTTTAGATCAAAGTCTAGAACCAGAGTCCCATTCGACAATTGGTCAGCAAGATTACTCTAATGACCCTAATGCACATAGTGGTCAATATGAACAATTTGGTAATCAAGGTGTTGCCAGCACTGCATCACTTTGGAGGTCTGAATTATCATCCCCACCACCTCAAGGTATGAATAACGATTTGCACTCCCCGAACAAGAGAAAAAATCTCGTAAAGATGATTCAAGAGGTTAGTATAAACTTATCTCTTAAAAAATGTGCTATTGTCAAAAAAGCAATAGTGAAAACGTTTTGTTTGCATATTTGTCCATCGCATATTTTGCCTGCCTCTTCATATTCGTTCATCGTATAATTTTGTTTGCCTGTTTATATTCGTCTATCGTATAACTAGTTTGCTTGTTTATATTGGTCACTCGTGTATTTTGCCTGTTTATTTATATTCGTTCATCGTGTTTTTTGCCCGCCTGCTTATATTTATCCATCGTATATTTTGCCTGTCTGTTTATGTTCGTCCATCATGTATTTTCCTGTTTGTTATATTCATCCAATAAAAATGATTTTTCTATCTCTAGGATTTTCCAAGAACTCCTTCTCCTCTCTATTCGCACACTCGTCAACGACAAGCTACTCTAGCAGAAGCAAACTCTACTGAATTGGGTAATGACGAGTTTGACGTTGACTTTCGCTCTCTTAATCTCGAAGACCCTCCTCTCAACCATCCGAGCCATTATCAAAGTAGTTTGCGTGTCGCTTCTGGTGAAGATAACCACGTCAAGTCTATGATGTCTGGCGTAGAAGACCTTGATCATCGAATAGGTTTTGGTAGAGGTGCTTCACCACCTCCACTCCGTACAAAGTTCTCTCCTCCTCCTCGTGCTTCATCGACTCCTCCAACTCAAAATCATTTTCGTAATCATAGCCTTAATTTCTCTCAGGAATTTCATGGCGATATCTCTCATTCTGATCTCTTGTATAATATTAAAAACCTTGAAGGAACTGTATGTATAATAATATCTATACATTATGAAAAATAAATAAAAAAAATTATCTGAACTTTATCCTAATTTATTTTATATAAACAGGATGATTATGATACCCTTCAACAAGTGCAAATCATGCGACAGCAACAAGCAATCAAGCAGCAGCAACAACGTTTAAAGATGCAATCGCAGTACAACTCTTTATTTAATGATAATTCTTCGTCCGGTGGTTATTCTTCTCAATACGGACTTGGTAAGTTTATTTACTTTTACTGACGTTTGATAAAAACATTTTATTATTATTATTTTTTTTTAAAAAAAAGGATTCCTTCTCTTTATTATTATTATTATTATTATTATTATTACTATTATTATTATTATTATTATTATTATTATTATTATTATTATATTATTATTATTATTATTATTATTATTATTATATTGTTTTTTATTTGTTTGTTGTTGTTCTATTTATTCTTCTATTTGTTGTTCTTTTTTATTTGTTGTTGTTGCTCTATTTATCATTTCTCTTATTTATGTTCTTTTTATTATTCTCTTATTTGTTCTTCTATCTATTATTCTTTTATTTATTATTCTTATATTTGTTATTCTTATATTTATTATTCTTATGTCTTTATCTTATAATACATATATATATAGATCCTTATTCGTCCGTATGGGATCCTCGCGAAGACACTATGTTAAACCGAAATATCCTTTCCTCTGACATGACATATTCACGTAATGGTTCTTTAAGTCTAAGTTCTGGTCGAAATTCTATTGATTATCAAAAAGCGCTTCAGCAACAGCAGCTTGGATTAGGCGGTTCCGGTAATATGGGCGTTGGTCGTGACCAGTTATTATCATCTGAATATAGTTCTGGAAAAAGTAGTCCATATTATGGTTCTAGTATGAGTGCTTCTGGTCTTAGTTCGGTGAGTGGTTTAGGAGGTACATCTCTTAATGCCCAAACTCGTGCCTCTTTAGCAGAGAAGAACTTGCGATTGCAATCGCAACAACTTTTGATTCAACAACAACAATTAAAACAACAACAAATGATGCTTGCTCGAGAACAATTATTAAGGCATCATCATTCTGCCGAATACTTGAATGGTATTGGTGGTTATGGCGGTATTTCTAGTGGTCGTCGTAGTAATGATTTAAGTTCAAGTATTTCTGACCCTGGTCACGGTATGCGAAGCGCTTTATTAGAAGAATTTAGAAATAATAAGAATAAGAAGTATGAACTTAGAGTATGTATTTTAAAAAATATAGATATTAATTGTAATATATATATATTAATTATATATATTTTATATTTTTTTTATATTTTACAATCATTAATTTATTTATTTATTGATCTGAAACAATTCAATTTTGTTACTTGTTTTAGGATATTGTCGGTAATATAGTAGAATTTAGCGGTGATCAGCACGGTTCAAGATTCATTCAACAAAAACTTGAAACTGCTAATAGTGAAGAGAAACAATTAGTTTTTGATGAAATTCTACCTAATGCTCTTCAATTGATGACTGATGTGTTTGGAAATTATGTTATTCAAAAGTTCTTTGAGCATGGTAACCAAATGCAAAAGACTATATTGGCAAAACAGATGGAAGGTCATGTCTTGTCTTTAGCTTTACAGATGTACGGATGTCGTGTTGTTCAAAAGGTATTTAAAAAGTTTGATACTTATTTATTAATTTAATTTATTTAATTTTGTATTGTCGTAAATTAAAATGATTTCAAATTATTTAATATATATATATATATATTTTTATAGGCTCTTGAACATGTTCTTACTGAGCAACAAGCTACTTTAGTAAAAGAGTTGGACGGTAATGTGCTTAAATGTGTCAAGGATCAAAACGGAAATCACGTCATCCAAAAAGCTATTGAACGTGTTCCTGCAGAACACATTCAGTTCATCATAAATGCTTTCCATGGACAGGTCTATAATCTTGCGACACATCCATACGGTTGTCGAGTAATTCAGCGCATGTTTGAACATTGCACTGATGAACAAACGGTATGGATTTATCCTACATATTTATTTTTTTTTTATTTTGTTAGAAAAAGTTAGACTGAAGGTTATTAAAAATTTATTTATAGAAGCCTCTACTGGAGGAACTTCATCGATATACACAAAATTTGGTACAAGATCAATATGGAAATTATGTTATACAACACGTTCTGGAACGTGGAAAAGCTGCCGATAAATCAATGGTAGTTGCTAAAGTTCGTGGTAATGTTTTGCAAATGTCAAAACATAAATTTGCTAGCAACGTAGTTGAAAAGTGTGTTGCATACGGTAGCAAACGTGATCGTCAATTATTGATCGATGAAGTTATCCAGACAAAGTCTGATGGGTACATATATATTCATTATTTTACATATATATAATTTTTTTTCGTTTATTAATACGTCTAATTAATGCGTATAATAAATTTAATACATACTAACTTAATACGTACTATTTTTTATTTTGTAGTACTTCACCTTTGATTTCGATGATGAAGGATCAATATGCTAATTATGTAGTCCAAAAGATGCTCGATGTAGTTGATGGTGATCAACGAGACCTCCTCGTTGCGAAAATTAAACCTCAATTGCAGTCATTAAAGAAATATACGTATGGAAAGCATCTCATTTCAAGTAAGATTAAAAAAAATTTTTTATATGTATTCTTTAATTAGTCACTTGAAAATTTATTTTTTATAATAACTTATAAATATATTGTTAAATAGAAGTTGAAAAACTTATGATCCTTACAGAAAATCAAAAGAACCAAAACGGTGGTATCATTAATGATGGTATTTCGACCGATGTCATGACACCCCCTAGTTCACATACTCCTCTCGACACGTCTAATAATTCTCCTGTCATGTCTTCGCCGGCAATTGGATCTGATAATAATACAAATTTACATATTGGTTCTGCTCCCCACCTTTCTGAATAAATTTTAAACGGTAGCATTGTAAAATATAAATTTGGTGATGTCCGTAGGGTTATAGACTCCTTACATTGTTATATATAATTGCAAGCTCAATATTTTTTTTTTAGCATTATGGTAGGGTTTCTTTTTTTGGAAAATTTTTGCGTTTCATTTATTTTCCTTTTTTTGTCTTTATTGAACTATATTTTTTTATATATACACAACACAACTAAATAACCATGTCCTATATCACCGAAGTAATGTTATTTTGTCTCGTTCTAGGTGACTCAGTAGGAAATGCTTTCGTGGTCGACATCAAAGAAGACATGACTGTTTCACATCTCAAGGAGCTAATAAAGAAGAAAATGAAATGTTGATGCAAATAACATCATGCTTTGGAAAGTTGAAGGTATTCCTATCAACATAGAAAGCCTAAAAACAAAAATACATGCCGATATTAATATAGAACAAGAACTTGGAGGCATTATGTTGCCCCATCTGATACTATAAAACAACATTTTTGCGGGTCAGATAGTAAAGACATCCAAATCATAATACAACCACCCACCCACCACCAGTAAGTATTTCCCGATGTTTTACCTCTCACTCGATTAGGAAAAAGAAAAACGGAAGGTTCAATCGCGGGAAATGAAGG